CTTCCTCCAAAATTAGAATCATCATAGAATCATGGAATCACAAAATGGTTTGGGTTGGAAGGGACCTTAGAGACCATCTGATTCTAACCCCCCTGCTATGGGCATGGATGCCACCCACTAGATCACTGGGCTGGTTCATCAGTATGTGCCTCAAGGGAGCACATGATGCCCTGCACTGGGGTTGCTGCCCCTCCCTACTGGACCCATCATCTCTCCTCACCCCTATTCCACACGGAGCAGGCTCGAGGGGTCAGTTTATTCAGATCTTGATCCTGGGGCAGCATTTATTGCCCATCTCCTCCCAGCGAGCCCTCCCAGGGTCTGGGTGAGACCTTGCTGCCCCATCCTTGCAGCAGCCCAGCCCTGTGCAGCATCCTCCAGCATCGGCTGCGCTGCAGAGTGTCCCCACCCTGTGCGGATGCTGCATGGCCCCCTGGGAATGCTGCAGAGCCTTGTGCTGCAGGGCATCCCCCCAGCCTTGTGCCCAGAGAACCCAGGACAGGTGGGGCAGCTCGGGACCGTGATGCCCCAGGGACTCCCATGGTGCTCAGGGTTTGGGGTGAAGGTGGCACGGGGCAGGTGTCCCAGGATTTCCAGGCCTCCAGCTGCAGACGGTTCATGCTCTTCATGCTTGTGAGAGAGCATCTGTGCATCCTGAGGGATGCAGTAGCAAGGGAATGAGTTGTCCTGGTAGGAGATACACCAGGCACTGCACCCAGGGTCTTGGGTGGGCTGGGAGGTGGACAGGGATCCCTGCGGATGGAGGGGATGGATAGCAGCCCCCAGTGCAGACTGTAAGGAAGCAGAGTGGGGATGGAGAACCCCGTGGGAGGTGAAGAAAGCACCTAAAATCTCTGTGACCTAATCTGTGCTTTCTAGGAGCATTTCCGCAGTGGCCCGTGGGAAGATGCGAGAGGGAAATCCCTGTCTGAGCTTGATTTAAACGTTCAGGGCAGGTCCATGCAGGTGCTGAAACTGCTGCCAGGCTGCTGGGGTGGGTCAAATGATGCTTGGCTCCCCGTGGAGAGCCCTGGATCCATGGGGCTGTGGCAGGAGGCTCCAGCCCAGGTTAGTGGGTACCAGTGTAACTCCCAGCACCTTTCCCTTTTCCTTACAATGGCCCCAGGAGAGCCTGGACTTGTTTGGGGCCCTGCACAGGGAGGTTGGGCTGCTGCAGCCAGCCCTGCATGCATGGTGTCCCTGGATGGACACCACTCCCAGCTCAGGCCAAGGAGCATCCTTTATCCTCCTACCCTGTCCCAGCTCAGTGATGCTCGTGCCCATGGGCACAGCCATGGGTTGAGGCTCCCACCTTTCCACATTGTAGAACTAGGTCCATTTTCATCAGGCTGGCAGGAAAGGTGGGTGCTGTCACCTCCCTGTCCGACTGCAAGGGAGAAATGCTCCTTGTAACACAGAAATTCCCACCTGTCCTCCACAGGCACCTGTTTTCTGTCAAGGAGGGAATATGAGATTTTCCAGCAGGCTGGTTCCCCCTATTTTGGGGAAAGCCCATCAAGACTTGGCACACTGATCAATGGGGATCCCATCAGAACTATGGATAGTTGGCAGGTTCCTAAATGAAGCAAGGACTCAGGAGTGCAGGAATCAAGAGCTTTCCCCCCAAAGCAGCGAAACAAAGTGCTTTAAATTTTTCACCTTTTTTTTTTTTTAGTTGCTTTTTCCCTTTGGTGAACCCCAAACATTGTCCCGTTTGCTGGGCAGGCTTTGTGATGGGACATGTGGAAGAGAAATGCCATTCCCCAGGTGGGGGGCATGTGTTTCCAACCCCATTTAGTCCAGCAGTAGCACTGGGGTCTCATGGCATGCCCCTCTCCCCGGCCTTGCCAGGGGAGTGTTGGCATCACATCCACCAACTTGATGGGTGCACACAGTGGGGAAACTCATCACTGACCAGAGGTGGAGAAAGGATCTGCAAGGGAGGGCAGCCAGCCAGCTTCTCCCAGGAAAGGGTTAATCCTGGAGCTCTAGCTCTGGTATCCTATTGCTGGCTGCTTTGGGTAAAAGCTTTTCTGGCTCTGTTTCAAGGGCAGCGGCTGGAGGATGACTCATGAATCCCTGCCACCAAGGAGCAAACTCTCTTGTCCCCACTTTCCCAGCACAAGGTGATGATTTCCTGAAAATCCAAGTGCCTCAGTGGGCTCTGGTCAGCTGGGTGGGGAAAAGCTTCATCTAGGACCTGCTCGTCCTTAGGGAATCCTTAGGGAACTGGGGTGATGACATCTCCAGCACGGAGATGTGTGGGTGTCCCCGGGATAAGGACCTGCTGTTGGGGCATCAGGACACGTTGTTTGGAGGCTGCTTTTGCCCCATAACAGCCTGACTCTCATCCCTTTATTCCCCAGGGAAAGAGCCACCTGCCCAGCTGCACCTCCACCTTCCCAACACCACCAGATGTGCCTCCACATTGTGCTGCGCAAGGAACCGACTCCGGGGGTAAGAAGGCAGGAATGACCCCACCACGGGTCCACGGCTGTCCAGGGGACTCCTGTGTGATGGTGGCATGTTCCTCCCCGGCACAGGTCACACAGGCTGGTGGCAAGGCCATTCCAGACCGGCTCCGTGCTGCCAAGGGGTGGTGTGTGACCTCAGCAGGCACGGGGACACCACCACCATGGTGCAGGAACATCAATGTAGGCATGGGGACATTACCACTGTGTAAGGGGGGGCATGGGGGCATCACCATGGCCACGGGACACCATCACTGTGGGCATGGGGACATCACCACCGTGTACAGGGGGGGCATGGGGACACTGCTGTGGGCATGGGGATACCACTGTGACCGCGGGGACATCATCACTGTGGGCACGGGGATATCTCTGCGGGCATGGGAACATGGGGACATTGTCACTGTGGGCATTTCCATGGACATGGGGACATGAAGACACCATCACTGTGGGCATGGGGACACTGCTGTGGGCGTGGTTTCGTCGCTACCATGACCTGTGGGGCACAGGGATACTGCTGTGGGCATGAAGATACAGCCATGGCGTGGAGCTATTACCACCCTGGGCAGGGGTACATCACCACCATGGGTACAGGGGGCACAGGGCATGAGGATACCATCAATGTGGGCATGGGGAAACCACCACCATGGGCACAGGGGGCATGGGAACACTGCAATGGGCCCAGGGAGACAATCATGGGCATGGGGACATCGACGCCGTGGGCACAGGGGACATGGGGACACCACCATGGGCATAATCACTGTGGCCACCACCATGGGGTAGTCTCCTTTTATCCAGGTGATGTTGGGAAGCTGGATGATCTATGATGAGGTCCCTGCTACCTGTTGTGCTCCTAAAAGGATGAAAATGAGGACTTTTGGTGATGACAGTGGGTGAGGGCATCCAGGGAATGTCTCCTCCCTTTTGTGCGGGCAGAAAACTGAGGGCTTGGAAGAAGTTTTGAGGTTTCAGGGTGGAATTATTTCATGGTAGGCAGCCTAATCCATCTCTGGAGTGACCCTGCTTGGGGCAGGAGCTGGACCAGAGGCCTTCAGAGATACTCACTCACTGTGCCTCCGTATTTCCTTAAAATAAGGAAATTATTCCCTATTTAAAGGCTTTTACTGGATTGATAACATGAAGGCAATGGTTTTGGGACCCCAGAATATCTGGGAAACAAAGCCCTTCCCTGTGATGGTGTGTCTCCATGGGGCAGGCAAGCCTCTCCATGGGGGTTTCCTCTTTGACTCAGTTTCCCCACCTGGAAAATGTGTTTTTCTGGGGGATCCCCAAAGAAAATTTTGGGATTTTCCCAAAATTCCCCCTCGAGGACATGGGGATGGATGAGTGAGGGACTTGGAAGTTACTTGTTTTTGACCACACAGCTTGAGTGGCCGTGGTCCCCAGGGACACACCGATGGCTCACCCTCTCTCTCCCAGGACATTCACTTGCATGTGCCAGGGAGGTGTGGTTCCCCAGGGAAGGGGCAGAGTGATGCTGTGCCATGCTGATGGGTGTTACACCTCATCCAGGGTTTCACCAGGCTCTGCTGGCCATCTGTGCTCCTCCATCCAAGAATCAGGGTGCAGTCCATACCCAGATGCCACACATCCCAGCCTGTACGTTCTCCATCCTTTCCCTGGGCTGCAGCATTCTCCTTCCAAGCATTTCTGAGAGCTATCATGCCCGTCCTCATCCGCTCTCCCACCTCAGAGTTTTCTGAGTAGAGCTGATGATATCTGGTGAGACATTTATCCCTTGAGAGCACGCAGGAGGAGTTTTCCAGCCCTTAAGCAAGGGAAGAAAAAAAGGATGAAAGGATAAAACAACACAACCCAGAAGAACAGGGGCTGGCACCAAATTTGCTGATCTCCTCGCTCTCCGTGGCCTCTGGTGCAGAAGGAAAATGAGGTGGAGAGAGTTGGCTGCTTATGGATGGCCCCAGGAGCAGGAGCAGGCCCAGGCTGTGTGTCCTTGGGCTGACCTCTGTTTTGGGGTCTTCTGGGCAGAAACACTCTTCTGAAGGATGCAGGGTCAGCGTGGCTGTGGGTGATGTCCCTGGTGGGATCTGCTGTGGGGCTCGGTGCTGACACAAGTGCTGTGATATCAGCACATTACATCACTCCTAATCCTTTCAGAGGGAGCATGTTTGGTTCTCCAGGTCCCATCCTGAGGATCTGAACTAGCCCACTCCAATGGACCTAATCCTTCTCCAACAGTGAGGAAGGACCAGGGATTCCTCTGTGCATGGTCTGTCTCCTGCCCCTGGCTGCTCCTCCAGCTTCCTGTGCCCACCAAGGACCTCTCAGTCTTGAAGAAGTTTCAGCCTTTTGTGTCTGGGAAGCACTTTGGAAGTTTTAAGAGCTCACCAGATGTGGTTTTCCTCAAGGATACACCAGTTGCTGTGTCTCCCTGCATAGGGCACCTAAGGCTTAGCTTGCTGGGACCTGTGTCCCCAAACCAGGACTCCAGCAAGTACCCAAAGCCCCAGCGCTGCCTCCTCTGCCCTCAGGGATGCTGGGAGCCCTCTGGGACCCCTGCTGGGTTTGCCTTTGCCTGCGGAGGGAGGAAAAGGTGGAATGTCAGGCTTCCCCCACTCACCAACCGATTTGTCCTCTAGGAGATTAGTCCCTTCCCTGGCTTATGGGGGGATTTGCAGCTGCTCCATCTGCTCGAACCCAGTGGATCAGCGTGTGCCAGGGAGGAGCAGCCAGAGCCCAGCTGCTGTTTCCTCTCCCAGGCGTCCCAGGGAAAGGGTTGCACCCTGTTTTGGGCATTTCTGGCTATATCTGTTGGAAAGGAGCAAAAATCCCTGGAGCAGGTGAAAGTCCTGCTTGGAATGGGGTTTAAACCCAAGAGTGTTGATGGAGCTGATGAAAACCATGCGGAGTAATGGCAGGTTTTTTAAGCTGCTTTTTAGGCTGGTGGAAAGCCTTGAGGATGCTTCAGGATCTCCCCTTTCATCCAGGAGAGTCCCAAAGAGATGATTTCCCTCTAAATCCATTTGGCCTTTGGGAAAGCAGGCAGGTGGGTGGGGAGGAGAGCGTCTCAGTGTGGATTTTCCCACACTGCTGGGGGATCTGGGGGAAATGGAGGTGTTTGCTGGCTCACAGGTACTTTCAGAGCCAGGTTTTCCCAGGAGGGAAAACTGGGAGGCAATAGGGGCAATACAGGGCTCTGCCTTCTCCTGCTCCGTCGCTCCTGTCTTGTCAGCAGGCACCAGTTGAAGGTGATGGGTAGCAAAGAGGCTGGAGGTGAGTTAGGAAGGAGCTGGTGACAAGTGGGCTTAGGGAGGCTGGATTTATAGGGACTGACTGAACTAGGTTTGTGGAAGTGGCGGGAGGGAGCTGCTGGGTGATGTTGGGGGCTGGGGCATTGCTCAGTGCCATCCGACTCCCAGGATGTAGGGACCTTGGGGACATAGCAGCCCATGCCCAGATCCCAGCCGAGAGCAACTCTGATATGCTGCTAGACCCAGGAATGTGCTCCCTGCCATGCTGCTGCCTTTTCATCAGGAATGGGGCCACATGGGACCCTGTCAGACCCCTCCCACCTCCCAGAAAGCACCAGTTTCTCTTCTAACCTGGCAGAAAATCACAAATAGGGGAGATTTGGGCAACGTAGATGAGATGCTGAGATGCCAACACCGTCCCCGTCCAGCTCACCCACCCCTGTGGAGCCCGGGGGTGACCGGTTTCAGCCCTCCATCTCCGTTTTCCTTCCCTTGCTGTTTCGCCCGGAATACCGATGGAGGCTGCCAGGTGTCAGCTCGGAAATCTTTTAACTTTACCTCATCTCCCCAAATGGACAATGTCTCCGCTCATTAGGTACCCGCCCAGGGGGCAGATGTCAGCTCCACTCACGGCTTTTCTCAGCTCATCTCTGCCCAGGCTCTTGACGGCTTCGGAGCGCTCAGGTCCCATCACGTCACTCCGGCTCTGCCTGCAGGGCTGCCCGCTCTGCCTGCCCAGCGGCACCTCATCTCTGACCCCCTGCCCCGGCCTCGTTGCCTCCCCCTCTTCAGCAGTGGGGTTTTCAAGGATTTTTAGTTAAAAGGCCAGAAAATCACAGGCACCAGTGGCACATGTGTGTGTGTGTGTGTGTGTGCGTGTGCGTGTGCGCAGAGCTGGAATTGGTTTTCCTTGCCCAGGCAGTGCCTGGGAGGAGAAGCCAGCTCTGAATCAGGTCTGCCCTTTGAGGCTGATGCATCCCGACAGCTTGTTCACTGGGACATTAAAATCATTGCCCCTGTCTGCGTAAAACACCCGGGAAGGTGGATGATGGGAACACAGGTCAGGGGAGGATCGTTCTCTCCCCTGCACCATGAGCAGTGCTGCTGAAAACCCCAAACGGCAGAACAAAGCAGATCCTGGCGATGCGAGGGCTGCTGCATCCCAAATGGATGGAAGCAGGGTCCTCTCCATCATGAAGGGGGCTGGCAGCCTGGGGGGAACAATGCAGATGGAACCATCTCACTAATGTTCCCATCTGTAGGGTGTGCTATAGCTCAGGCTTTGGTGATATGGTGGGAGAACATCCCCATCCCATCCTGTCCTGTACCAGCCCTGTCCCCATCCCATCCCTATTCCATCACATCTCATCCCATCCCAGCGTTGCCATCCCATTCTCATTCCCATCTCACCTCATCCCATCCTTATCCCATCCCTATCCCATCTCATCTCATCTCATCTCATCTCATCTCATCTCATCTCATCTCAATCTCATCCCAGCCATTCCCATCCCCATCCCATTCCAGCCATCCCTCACCACTGCACAGCATTTCTTCCCAAAGACCTGGAATTTTCCCTGGAGGGTCACAGCAAAGCCAGAGGACAGCTCCTAGCTCTCTGTGCTTTCTGTGGAGCTTGGACCTCACACAGGTGCCCAATGGTCCCAGATATCTCAAGGAAGGTTCCCAATGGGCATAGACAGCCAAGAACTCACCGGTGAGGGTAAGCTGGAGTCTTGAGTTTGAAGGAGAGGCAGGGTGGGTGTTGGAACAGGCTTTGGTATTTTTGGGAAGTGGGAGTGGTATGGAGAAGGGGATATGGGAAAACCTGCTGGTATTTGGGATGGTAGAACAGGGCATCCTACCGTGCCTGAGCAAAAGCAGGGATTTTTAACAGTCCTGTAGGATCAGGCGTGGGACCTGCTCCCACATGGAAGTACCTGTCAGCTCACCTTGGAGGCTGGGCATGAGCAGGAAGCACACACACTTCCTTCAACTTGGCATCCTGTTGATGCCATGTGGTCAAACCCTCTTTGTAGAAGGTTTGTCCGTGTCTCTGTGTTTCCTCCTTTCCCATCCAAGACTAAATTCCTTATGTCCTCAGGTGCTTTTACCTGGGAGCAATAGGTGGGATTTGCTGGAATCTGGATGTTCTGCTGTTCAGAAATTACTCTTTCAGCATCCCGAGTGACTCTTGTGAACATTGCTGACCAAATTTCCTGATGGGACATAGTCCATGAAAGCCAGCAGGCAAACTGGCCGTGCAGGGATGGAGCCATGCTCTTCACCACCATGGATCAGGAGATGAAAAGCTTTTGGTGGGATAAGCTTGCTGGTGCCTCTCCCAGCACCAATGCGTGCTTCACTGAAGTGAACAACCAGGAAAAAAAATATAATTTACCCCTTTGCTTGTACTCTCAGGGCAGATACGAACTGCAGGGGCTTTGGCCATGCTGGAGAGAGGATTTGGGAGTTGGTGGTGAGGAGGTTGGTTCCGCCAGCAGCCCAAATGTTTCTTGTCCATCTCATGATGCCTTTTAAGACAATTCCTGAGTGTTTTGCACTGGTCACTGATGAGCAAGGAGCCACTGTTGTGTGATGTGGGGACACAGGCAGTTGACACAGATCCATATCCACGTCTGCTGGGTGACTGTGCCCAGCAGAAGCTTCTGGAAACAGCCCCACTGGAGATGTCAGAGGATGCTTGAAGCAGCCATGGCCAAGATGTGCTTTGCAGTGCTGAGGTTTCTGCTTGGAGGCTGCTTGTGGGTTACCTGAGGATCACTCTTTCCTCCTGCTGGAAGTGAGGTTGTCCCAGCATGGCACCAGTCCTCTGGGAGACACAGGTACAGGTGTACTTGCAGGTGACCTGCACCTTAATCACAGGGAACACCATGTGGGTTCAGGACTGTGGGTTCAGGACCATGGGCTCATGGCTGGGATCTCACCCTGCAGCCTGTGGTGGAAGAGAGGAAGGAGTGTAACATAAGAAGGAGCAGAGCTGCTGGGAGATGGACCAAGATTTGATTAAGAAAACTGCTGACAAATTCCTTAATGCTGCATTCCCTGGTTGCTTAAGCCTTGACTTGGGATAAACTCAAACCTATGACCTGGAAGACAAATACAATCTCTTCCCTCGTGTATTTGTGGGCTGTGGGTTGTTGCTCTATGCCCACACTGGCAGTGGGGAGAAGGCTTGGGGTTTCCTTGCAATGCCTTGTCCTTCCAGCATCCTGGATCCTTGTCTGAGCCCCCTTGTGCATGGGTAATATTGATGAAGCTAGTACAATGGTCAGGATTCTTCCTTCTTTTTCTCAATCCTGAAATCAGTGACCAGCAATTTGTACTGATTGGAATAAAGCAATTACTGAGGTTTCCTCTGTTCCGGGCTGATTTGCCTTTGTGCTTCCCTGTTCCTCATGTTGCCCTCGGCCACAGCAGCAGTGCTGGCAGGATGCTCTTGTTCATTCTGGAGGGTGGGACTGGCTGGGCACCTCAGGCTGTTGAGATGTGCTGTCTTCCAGATCCTTCCCTGCCACCTCCACTGCTGACCCACAGCCCCACGGGATCCCTGGCCTGTCCCTGCGGCTCCTCCAACGGTGAGTCACACTTTGGGTTTTCCATCCCTTCTAATTTGTTTTTTTTTTGGCCAGAGTCCATGGGGAAGGATGTTACAATTGTGACAGTTAGGGGGATTCAAAACCTATTTGGCTTGTGTAGGTTCAGTGGAGAGGAGTGAACCCTGAGGAATCTCAAGGTCCATCTTGGGATGTGTCCTGATTGCAGGTGACACCAACTGGGGATGCAGCCGCTACCTTGGAGGACATGGAGAGACCTATAGGATGTTTTAGGGAAAAAATATGGAATTCTGAGGACAGCTGGTCGCTGAAAGGGGCTGCGTAGTCTCCATCCTTGGAGGTTTTCAACCCCAAAAGGGATAAAGCCCTGGGCAACCTGCTCTGATCTTAGTGCTGACACTGCTATGAGCATCAGCAGGACTGAAGACTGACCTCAGGAGGTCCCATGGGCTCCCCTCCCACTGCCAGGCTCCTTCCCATAGCAGGGAAGTGCCCAGGTCACTGGGGACGAGCACAGAGGTTGCTGAGTCACCAGGAAGAGGAAGATTTTCCCTGTTAACACACAAGCTGCCTCGGCACATTAAGAGCAGCACCAAGTCCAAGCAAGGAGTGGGGTCTGCTGCTCACCCACCCTACTGCCCAGGGAATATTTTAGGCAATGGAGAGACTTTCCTGCCCTCTGGCACTCGATTTATTAGCAGCTCAGGCTGCTCCATTGATTGTATTGACGTGTAGTGCATGCCCCAGTTAACTTAGTGGAAGCAGCAGCACAGATACAGCAATAAAAATAACCCGGCACCCCATGTCACTGAAACATGCTGGATGATTTCCATCACGGTTGGATTTCTGGGTGGACCACTGGGCTGTGTTCACCTGGGGGATCCCAGGCATCCCCTCCTCCACAGAGCAGCGCTTTGGATGATTTCACTTGATGGACTCTGAGGATCTGCCCAAACCTGTTTGGAATGTAGAGAAAAATATTAGGTGGGGCTTACCTACCTCAAACACAACCTGGAGGTGATGCTCCTGATCATTTTACCCCCACTCCTAAACCCAATCTATGTTTTACTTCTCTCTGAAATTCACATTAAGCAGCTGTTGGGTGTCCTTCCTCTGTGCTGTGCTAACCTCTGCCATGTCCTGGTCTGCAGGCCCAGGCCGTGGACTGCTGGGTTCCCCACCCCAGCTCTCAGCATGCCCTTTTCTGGTGCAGCCAGACCCTCCCAGGAATCACTTTGGAGCTCAAGGCCATCCTGCAGAGTAAGGTAAGGTCAGTTCAGTCAAAATCAGAGCATCCCAAAATGGTTCGGATTGGAAGGGACCTTAAAGACCGTCTTGTTCTACTCCCCTGCCATGGGTAGGGACACCTTCCACAAGCCCCGTCCAACCCAGCCTTGAACACTTCCAGGGATGGGAGAGCCGCAGCTTCTCTGGGAAAATCCTGGAAAGGGTCTTTGCAGCTCCCTTAGGCTATAAAACAGGGAGGATTCTGGGCCTCTCTCGTCCGTCTCTGCAGGTCTCCCATCCTGCTGTCTCTGCCCTTGCTGCCTGCTTTCCACCATGTTGGTCATTCCATTAAAACCAGCTAAAGAGCTAAGCTGGGAAGTGCATAGGCAGAGTGATTTTCATCAGCCACTCTGCTTTTGTGACTAAAATAGATCCGTGTTGGCCCGGGGCCATCATGTTGTCCCAGGCATTGACTGGCACGAATGGATGTCGGGGCAACATTTTCCATTAGCGAAGAGGAGGACACGCGTCTCCGGGGGAAAAGACAGCTCCATAAAGCAGAAATGTTGTAGCAGCAGAGAAATCCACCTCTCTTTTCTCCCTTTTTCCTTTTAAAAGTGTCACTTATTCCTGTTTTCTGCACGTAAAACCCTGGGAGAGACTGGCCAGAGCAACACCCTACACCTGCGACAGGATGGTGTGTTTTAGAAAAGGGGATGGAGGTTTCTCAGAGGAGCTGCAGGTGACCCAGTAAGGTGCAGCAAGAGTAGAACTTGCCAAAAAAACTGTGAGGAGGTTTATCCATGGTCTGGTGATGTGGGGGATACTGGTTATGTCCGGTCATGAGGTCTCTGTCTGCAGCTCCGGCTTGCTATGAGCATCCTCTTACAAACACATCCATCCATAGAGGGATTTTTGGGCTGGAGGGTGGCCTGAAAGCCATGAGCTGAAGGAAGGATGCACTTGGGAGCACATCCCTGGAGGTCCCTGTCTCTTCCCTGCTTGCTGGCATAGCAAGTCTTGGGGAAGGGATCCCCCACTACCAACCCCAGGAAAACCGGGACATGTCTTTTCCGGGGCAGCTCAACATCCAGTCTGGGACCAAGTCTCCAAACTGTCCAGCAAATGCATTTTATTCTCTGGCTTTAGTGAAGACACTTTTTTGCAATAAGTAGTTGTTAAAGTTACTGTTCATTTGGGTGAACATCACAACATCCTGCAGCTCTCACCTCCCTCCAGGAGGTTCTCTGACATAATTTTTCTACCTTCTCATGATCCCTGTCCAACATCCCATCTCTTCTCCCAGACCTGTGTCCCGGCCCCTCTCCCATATCCACAGGTGGGAGAGAAGCCTGGTGCCTGGCTCTGTCCAAGCCCCCCTCAATGCTGTGTCTTGGACTTCTTGCCCCTTGGGATTTCATCCTCGGAACTCAAGACTGAGACTGTGTGTGTGTGTGGTACCATGACTATTTTATAGAAAAACTCCAGGTGGGAGGGACACCTGGAAAAACACATGATGGGATTCTTGGAGTTGTCCTGTGCCAGGCCAGGAGCTGGACTCGATCCCTGTGGATCTCTTCCAACTCAAGTATATTCTATGAGTCTGTTTTTGGAGACCACTTTACACTGGGAAAACTGCTGCTGCTCCATCTCCCCTCCATGTGATGGAGTGAGCAGTCACTGCTGATGCTGGAAGCTGGAGATGCTGTGGGGTGCTGGGGTGGGAATTGCCTGTTCTGGCAAGGGAAAAGGCTGTGACACGAGGCTGCAGTGTGGTGATGGGGCTGTGCTCTCCAGTGGCAAACCATTTCCCAGTTTGACCCTTCTGCTTAATCTGAACTTGAAGGTGAACGAGCAGAGCTCACTCATCGATCCGGGACGCGGCTGATGAGTGCCATGCCCTGCGGAGAGCTCAACCCCAGCGCCAGCTCCCGCTCTCACCCTGTTTTTCCTGCCTCCCCTTCACGCCTTTCCAAAGCCATCAGTCAGAGTGTGGCACCCCAGGCCACCGACCTTGCTGGAGGCCAGGGGGACAACATATAGGTCCCCGAAGAGAGCTGCCCCGCTGTCTGAAGGGCTTCTCCCAGCTGCCACCGCCACCTCTCTGCTGCCGGTAAGCCTGGCATCTGCCTGCCATCAGCTCGGGGGTGCGGGGAGGCACAGAACAAGGCAAATGTGTTGCTGCCCATAATGCCAGGAGTCATGTTTTTAGCAGGTAGTGACGTTATCTGCCAAGCTGTGCACTGACTCTCCTGGTTTAAGGGGTCTGATGTCTTATTGTGGGCAAAATATAACTTGAATCATCTCTGCGCTGCTCTTAATCTTTAGCTAAAATGCCACATAAACTGCCAAATTGTATTTTTTTGACCCGTTAGGAAGCAAAACCTCATTTTAGGTTGGAAACTTAGAATTCGTCTTGCTTAATACGTAAAAAGCTTGGGTTTTGGGGAAAGGAAGATGATGCACCTTCCCTTCACATCTTCCATGCTTTAGCCACAGATTTTTTTTCCCGCAGCTGAAAATAACAAACCATTTTAATCTAAGTATTGCTTGTTCTGATCTTTTAATCCAGCTTGCTTTCTATCAGCGCAGCGGCCTGAAATGATTTATCCACCTGCCTCTCTATTATATAATTATTGGGAAGATTACTGGGGAGTCAGCTTTAGCTGGGCATCCGTCGCTGGGGAAAGAGGACGGGGCTGGAAGGTGTGGGGGGGGTTCATGGAATCACAGAATCATGTAATGTTTTGGGTTGCAAGGAGCCTTAAAGATCATCTGGTTCCAATCCCCTGCCGTGGGCAGGGACACCCTTCACTAGGCCGGGCTGCTAAGGTTTCTTCTCTCCCTTTGCACCTTGGCGATTGGAAAACATGGGAGAGGGAAGCAGCAAGCTGAATGCTTTGCGCTGGGTCTGTAGTTTGCATCTGAGTATGGAAAGTTTCTCCCTCAATCTATATTTGTTGGAATTAAATGCCCCATGGTCTGGCTGGTAACTGGAGAATCACGACCTTCCAAGACAGAGAGGATTTGGGGGAAACTCTGCGCTTCTTCACACTTTTTGGGGCATTTTTTAGCTTTACTTGCGGTTTTGGGAACAGCGTGGTGAGGCAGTCCATCCTTGGGAAGAACCTGGAATTAGGGGCTGTGCTCCTGATGCCTTCCCACCCCTGTGCAGAGCTGTGAAGGGGGAACATCTGCAAGGAAGAACCAACATCTGGGATGGTGGTAGCACTAAGAAGGGATGGAGGTGGCCATGGCTGTTTCACCAAAACCCAAGCCTTAGGTGTTATGCCTGGATAAGAAGGGCTTGAGCCCTTGGGTGATGGGGTGGCTGCTCTGCAGAAGTGACATCGCTGACATCCAAGGGCTGATGCCAGAGGTAGATTCCCTTGGAGCTTTCCATTGGCAGAGGAGATGAACAGGTGTATCACTGTCATGGCACGGTGGCACAGCCAGGGGTAGGCACAGCCAGGTGGAGACTCGGCTTGCCAGAAAAATGCAGCTTCTAAATGCTGTGAACCTATGGGCTTGAAATTTGATGGAAAAAAAACCACAAGAATGTCTGGGGCTCAAAAGTTCCTTTTCCCTTCCCCAAACTGAATGTCTGGGCACCGATGGGCTGGTACCTGCCCTGGTCACTGAGTAAAGGACAAGACATGCTTGGCCTGTGGACCAAAACTGTGATGTGGTGGCTCAGAACTGGGACAAGGAGAAACCTGAAGCACCAGTCAGAATCAGGCTCTGGGAGCTGTGGCTTGGTCTTCCTTGCTCTGCAAGGTCTCAGGGACCTTTATGGGGCAGAACATCCCCAGAATTGTGCTGTGTTTTGGGCTTGGGGAGTGTTTGTGGGGGCACATATTGAAACGCTCTTTGAGGCTGGCATGGCCATGGGGCAGTGGGAGCAGGAGATGCCCACCTGGCGTGTGTCACACTCCCTCCACTGCTTTTGGTCCTTCCTCTAGGGAGCCAGCTGAACTCTGGGATGTGCAGGCAGGGCTTCAGCCTGGTCCTTCCCACTGTGCTGCTGCCTCTGAGATGGAGGGTTTAGCAGAGCCCTCCTTTCCCTCCCAGAGGCTCCGTCTCTGGAGTGAGTGGGCAGGCACCCTATAAAGCATGCCCAAATTTCCCCCTGCACACAGGCAGTGCACTGGTGCTCATCTTGTGCCGAGCTCCTTCCTCCTTCATGTTGGAAGTGTTGGCTAGTTCACCCTCATCGCCTTGAGGCATCCAGATTTGCTCAGTGGCCTTTAAAAAAATAATAAAAATAAATAAATAAATCAAAGCCCATGAAATGACAAGAACATCAGCAGTGGGTGCATCCCCCTTTCCTGCAAACCCAGGGATTTGGGAGAAAATAGGTCATGTGCTCTTCATTCCGAGCCACGTGGTGGATCTCCCAGGACCAATGAGGTTGGGAGCCCTTCTGCGCCGAACGGCGGAGTTAAAAAAAAAAAAAAATCACTGGGATTTTTTTCCCCCTGTAGCATTTTTCATCCTTTCCAAACGTGAAAAGACTGGCCATCTGTCTGGACCCCCCTCCCGCCAAATCGGCACGAAAGCGGCTCTTTGGGGAAGGTAAGGAGATTTAAAAGATTGTCTTGGTGGAAGACCACCCGCTGCGGGCAACTTTTCCTACCAGTGGAAATCAGGGAAGAACCCATGGAACGAGTTGGGTCTAGGGCTCTGGTGTGGGTCGGAAGAGCTTTGAATGCTTAAGAGCAGTTTTAAGTGAATCTCACGTAGAGGAAATTTAAGTCTGCGGCGGAGGGAGGTGGGATTATGGGAGACATCGGAGCACGAGCAACGGGGTTCCCTTAAGTTAGCGACTGCTCTCCAAGTCTGTCTTAGGAGATATTTGCAAAATATCATTGGAAAATTACTTTGCTGAATATTGTTCGCAAATTTTGACAAATATCGTTGTGAATTTGTTTTGCAAAATTTTCGTTCTCATAGTATGTGCTTTATTTTTAATTAAATTCCCTTTTACCTGTGTCTGGCAGCTAAGGTCAAAGATTGTCTCCCTGTATAGGGAAGAGTC